CCCCTCCTAAGTCATCTCTCCAGCTCCTAGTTCTTGGTTTTCAGATTTGGTTTGGGGTGTGATTTGGAGATGAGACCTTGTGTCACCTCCGATGCACTCCTCCCTTGTGCTAGGGTTAGAGGTATATAACACTACTCCTGAGTAAAGTTCCATTCTTTGCCCTCTTGTCACTGTTGCTCTGAGCCTGTAGTGTCACAGTATACCATGCCAGAAAGACAGGAAGCAAAAGAAAGAAAACAGGGTCCTCAAGTCTCAATTTCCCCTTCAAAAATCCCCAGTCAACAGCCTGACTTTCCCATTGGCCCCACCACTCAAAATTCTATCCCTTCCAATAGTACTACAGGATGGGGACCAAGAAAGGGGCTTTCAGGACATTCAAGACTCAATCAAATGTGTAGCAGTAATCCTATCAGAATGTCACAGGTTTGGAGATTTTCCCCTGAGTTAATAAAAAATCAAAGATCTATACATTTGACACTTAGGGCTTCCCAGAAAGACAGTGGAAACTCCATCCGCTCACCTTCCATGGTATCTCACCTGAGTGAGAACTCTAAATTGGATTGAATGAAAGTCAGGAGTCATTAAACATCTGAGAACATGAAAGAATAAGTAAAACTATTGGGAAAATTAACTCTTGGTAAGAGCATGCCCAAAGCAGTCATCACAGACCAGAAATAATTTTACCTTTAAAAATCTTCAGAAAATAAACAACATGATCAGATCAAGGGTATGAAATATTTATATTGAACTGAAACATTAGAAATTAAAATTGGTCAAAACAATGGCCAAAAATAAAGCAAAAAACCAAATGCATGAAAAATGATAAAATCAATGCACACAATAATAAAGCTTAAGACTATAATGGAGTTTTTTAAATCCTAAAGTCTCCCAAATATAACAAATGTGCTAACCATGTATACATAATTTGTGACTATAATAATCATAATTAAAAACAGTTGCATTATTGAGAACTAGGAGATGCTTAATTAGTCTTCAAAATTCTATGGGAAATGAATCTCCACTCCATTTATAATTATGCATCAATTTAAGCAATAGTATATATATATATATGTATGTATGTATATATGTATGTATATATATTAATATCGATAGTATGTATTTAAAGAAAGCCAGATAATAAAGAGAAAAAACATGAAACAAAAAAATAAGAGACTCAATTCGAGCAAACAGAAGTTGGCATTTCAAAGAAAATACAACTTATACGTAACAGCGTTATTCTGAGCACAGGTTTACCATGTGCCTGTTCAGAGATGGAGGAAAATAAAGTGCCTAACCTCACTGGAAAGACTGCAAGAGCAAGTAACAAAAGGGGGTAGCTATCCCAGTCAGCAAAGAGCAAGCAGCTCAAGCAAAGAAATGTGGTGGCCCTAGCCACCCTGGTGGCCTCGCCATGCCCCATACTCACACATCGCTAACGTGAGCCAAAATCAAACATGGCTAACCCGGCCGCCCGGTACTCACACATCGCTAACGTGAATACCAAATCAAACATGGCTAACCCGGCTTCCCCGTACTCACACATCGCTAACGTGAATACCAAATCAAACATGGCTAACCCGGCTGCCCCGTACTCACACTTCGCTAACGTGAGCCAAAAACAAAAATGGCTATCACGGCTGCACTAGAGCAAGAGAGAAGTGTGAGGTGAGTGGAGAGGCTGATGGGCTAACACGAGGCAACGAAATGCTCCTTTTCCAGATCAGGGTCAAAAGATACTACCTAAAACTCAAAACTCGAGAATGAGCTATTTATGCTTGATACTTAGAAATAAGGAAGGAGAGCTAGGAAGAAGCTGTGGGCTTTGACTCAGAAATATAGCGGCTGCTGGACCAGAGCAGAAAACAGCATCTTGTGTTATGAATCACTGACTTTTTATAACACCTTAATATGATATAAATAAAAATCTGATTTTACCAGTGACTCATTTTTAGTAAATAAATAAACCAGAAATTTTTATCTGTGAAGGTTTACTATTTTCTCTATTCTCTATTTTCCACCAAAATGGTACTCTATTTTTAGTTGACCAAATCAGTCTTTGCAGTATAGCTCAAATCACGTCTTCTCTTTAAGTTGTAAGTGACCAAACTCCTCGTTGGGCATTCACATTCCTCCCCACTTATTTCCCAGAGCTTTCTCCCTTACTTTGTAGATAATTGTGGAGCAGCAACTGCATGGTTTGTTGGAAGCAGAGTTTATTTTACTCCTTCGGTGTTCAAATATTGGTCATTCACAGATATTTTATTGGGTTCCTGTGTTCCTTTGATATCCATCCTCCTTATCGTTTTTGACCTTTTGGGTTTTTATTTCCGTTTGTGTTTGGCTTTGTCTGAGTCCATCTTTCGTTTCCACCACTGCGATATGGCTCACACTCTTGAAGTCTGCACGCTAATCATGGGTGTTAGCTCAGCAGCTCAGTGGCATGATTGGGATTGTCCATGTTTACAGCGCCTCCCTCCCATCACATGCGGGCTGCACAGCTTCCGACCTACAGAATAACCTTGCATCTCCCAAGTAAAGGAGATTTCTTCTTCCAAGCTGCTATTTTATAGGGGTGCTTAACATTGCCTTCCTAAATTGGGTCACATGACCAGCCAAAGCCCCCCTCCTATACCCCAAAATCTCCATGAACTAGTTTTGACTGATCTACAACAGAATACTCTGTGTGTGTGTGTGTGTGTGTGTGTGTCTGTCTGTCTCTTGCACACACACACACACACACACACACACACACACACCTGGGGGAAGGAAACTAGACAAACTGGTATAGAAAGCAGATGAAGTCGAGTGAATGTGTATTGCTTCCATTAGCATGACCATGTCAAGGATACCAATGCATCAGACTCGTGGGAATGGCAAAACCTTCCCTGAGTGTGGTTCAGGGCAATGGCAAGAGCTTCCCTTAGGAATACAGATGTTGATAGACACTTGACTACCATTAAAAAGCACTACCAACCGCAGTTCCTCATCCAGGATGAACACTTTCGAGAGACTGCCCCACTACAGAGACCCCCTATCAAGACTAGTGAAGCTGCTGCCTCCTGCACTGTATGTAATACATGAGCTGAGCGTCTAGACTGCTGGTGCATTTCCATGACCTATCGGATCCCTGCTTTACCTTCCTTGTGTCTGCCTTTCTTAATCTCCCTTCATTGCCAGTCAGGCTTACAGACCCCGCCTGTCAGCCATGGCAAACTGGAATTCATTTTTTGATTTGTTTTAGTTTGCATTTTTGATTTGTCTGATGCATTCTTTTTTTCCGACTTACAGTAAGGTTCTTAATAGAATTTGTACACAAGAGAAATGAAAACAGTTCTTTCTGCGGGCACAAATGCTGCATATGACTAGGAGGCAATCTTTTCCCTTTTGCTTGGTTTTTAATGTAAAATCAGTTCGACAGGACCTTGGATAGATTGATTTGTCATGACATTTGAGAGTGAATTTCTTAGTTTGTGACATGTAAGTGGTGGAAAACACAAGAGCAAGCTGTACCCCTCGAAACACAAAAGGTGTGCTTTAAGCTAAAAGCTTCAAGAGGAGAGCGATGTCTTTCAAGGGTTTGCTATACCCATTCTAATGAAGATTCCCAAAACTGAAATTCACCAGGTCAACTTTTTGTTTTTGCTTTGATTTTGGTGTGCTGACTTAGGCTAGGCTGGACTAAAGTCCAGAGTTACTGAGCCAGACAGCATTCCAGGCTTTGATTTGAAGGCATTCTGTAGATAAATGGAAGCCCCTCACCTGTTGAGCTTCAATCAGGCAGACTACCTCTCATAATCTGGGTAGGCCTGATCTGGATGGCAGGAAGACATTAAGTGCAAGGCTGAGTTTCAGGCAGATAAAAGAAATTCCCCCTGTGCATAGCTTCCACCCAGAAGCATATACTGGAGTTTCCCTCTCCTAACACTATCCATGGACTGCTTAACCAGCTCTCACAGTGTGAAAGTCAAGTCTTGGTGATGCCTCTTCCTCAATCTCATCTTCTTTAATACACTCTTTCCCTTTTCATCCTCCCCCATCAACCATGTATCTACCATTTATTCACCTAACTACCTATCTTAATACTTATCATCCATCTGCCTAGCATTTATCATCTATCTATTAACTCGCTATCTATCATCTGTCTAGCAGTCATGAAGCATCTCACTCATCTTCTCTGGTTGAATGCTGTCTGTTGTACTCAAATTACTTCAGACAGGATCATCCTACTTCACCTTATTCCTACTATTATTCCTACTTCACCTTAATATTTCTTTTCGATTCTTTATTACTTACTTTTATTCATTTTGTTTGGAAGTTGGGGCACCATGTGCCCAGTAGTGCTGTGTGTGTGTGTGTGTGTGTGTGTGCATGTGTGTATCTGTGCATGTGTGTGTGTGTGTGTGTGTGTGTGTGTGTGCGCGCGTGCGTGCGCGCAGGTCAGAAGGACAACTTGAAGGGATCAGTTCTCTCCTTCTACCATGTGAGTTTGGGGACCAGCCTTGATAACAAAGCACCTTTACCGATTGAGTCACCTTGCTGACTCTACATGACTGTTTCTAGAATTCCTTTTCTCTTCAAATTATACTATTCTTTAGAACATAGATAAAGAATAAATTGTTCCGTGCTCCAGTATCCACAAATCACAGGACACCAATTCCCTAGAAAGAAACTTCTTACAAGTCTGGCTAACACAGTAGAAAATTGAGGAATGACTGTGTTAGAGAAAAACTAGGACAGAGTTCAAAGTTGAGGCTATGCATTCACAAGATGAAAAATAATTCATGTTGACGTTTTGACAAAATAAATATATCTCAAACATCCACTGGTCCTGGGTGTTTCGAGTCCTGCATGAGGTTGTTGACACAGTGGGAGAAGTAAGAGTCCAAGGCTGACTCAGCCCAGGTCTTGTCTTTCAACAGGGGCCAAATAATTGTGCTTCTATTTATTTGTCTGAAAACTAAAGTTTAACTGCCTTAGAAATGACAAGATTCCAGGCCATCTTCTATGACATTTCTTCACTCTTTATTGCACATTTGAAAGAGTACATAATGTAGCTCAGAAACTATTCTTTCCTGTGGATTCATCTCAGGTAGTAGTTTTTAGACCAAAATCAAAGTAGCACAGATTTTTTTTTTTAGGTAGGATATCTGGAATCGAAAACAACTTTTGTATAAGAATGCTCCCTATCTCTCTCCCTTGTTTTTTTCACTTTCTTTCATGGAATATCATTTGTTAACCTCATTTTCTACCTCTATTACTAGCATGTAAGTTGTGGGCTTGAGCTTCTATATGAATTTCACTGTGTTCCAGAAGTTAGCATAATGCCTGGCACATATTAGATGCTATTGTTTCTGTGTCTATAATACAGGCATAATGATAGTACCCAACATCTTAGCTTATTATAGGGGAATAGACATTTTGTATGATATTCTCTAAATTCCTAGTCAACATGAACTCTCTAGCTTTCCATGTGGACATCAATATCTGCTTCTTAACAAATTGTATGTGACATAGAGAAATATGGAACATAAATACAACACTAATCAGTTCTGCTTTTCCTCAGACTTTACTCTTCTATTCTCAATGTATTGAATTCATGATTAGGGGTATTGTCTTGGGTTGTGAGCTGTTGAAGGACTGAAACAAACTGACTGTTTGTTTCAACCAAGTCCCATATCAAATAAGAATTGAAGTAGAGCCTTTGGCTGGTTATCATTTAGTCAAACCAGACAGCTGGTCAACAAATGGGATGATTGTTGCCTTCCATGATGCTGGAGATGGTGAAATATTAAAAACAGATATGACACTTTCCAGTAATTAATATCAACAAACATTTTGGATTTTTAGCCTGAACACTCTCCATTGTGTTTGGCAGTCTGCCCTCTTCTTTGTTCAGTGGAGCTGAAGAGAAAATAGATACATTTTCTGTAATCAAACACTGAACGGAACTTTCACAATAAACTCATTTGAGTATTCACCTTGACCCCTGAGACCAAGGAGCAAAAATTTGCCAGGCCTCATTTTTTAATGCTCTGCCATGGAAAATGAATGATCCAAAGTTAAATGAAATGTGATCACGTATAAAGCCCACGGAGACACCTACAGGAGTATCAGTACTGGCTGTATCTGAGTAACAGGTTTATCTGGCATGGTTGTTGACATCCCCTCCTGTTTTCTGCGGTGATCATGCATTATTCATACTCTGATAATAAAAAGAATAAAAAGGTTTTTGTTTCTTTGAAATGGTATTTTAGACCTTAGAGGTAATAGAAGTTTTACAACTGCCTGCAGAGTCTTATTTCATTAACGTAAGAGAATGGGGTAGGAGTAAGAAGCAAAGAGGAGTTTGAAACACAAAAGTAGGTAAATGTGGATCATGCAAGAAATACATAGTCAAGAGTCTAGTAAACAAACTTCTTGGCAGCAGAGTTAATGTAAAGCATTTATGAGCAACTTCTCTTAATCCTTCTGATATTTTTCTGTAAACGCCAGGATATCATTGTTTTCAGGGGCTGCCAAGCTGCAGGCAGGGGACAATACACAAAGTATAATTTTTTACTCGTAATATTTTTCTTTAAAACACCATTGATCTTAAGCTACCTCCCCAATTGCAAATTGGGGGCTTTTTGAGTAATTTATAGGAAAAAAACTATGAAGTTTATCTTTGAAACGAAATGAAATAATACCTGCACTTCCTACTTGGGGGAAATTTTATGTTAAATCACCCCGACAGGCAGAGATGACAAAACATTGAGACATATTTAGAGATTTCATTTCTCTTCGTGGTAACGACAAGGTTGATTTTGTGCTCTCAGAGGGGAAATCGTATCTGATTTACCATCAGCTGCCTCCATGCCACCAGCCACATTTCACATTCTTTAAACAGCCACAGCTCCGGTGATGCTGACTACCCTTTGCAGTGGGGTTGATCGACTGCCAGATGCCTGACGCATCACGGAACACTTTCACTCTGAGCGACCTGTTTCTTTATCGTGACAAAGCAGGATGTGCAGCAAGAGGCAAACTGTCATAATTTTATTGGCGAACGAAGTCTGATGTACACCACCTTGCTTCTCGGTGCAGAGCTAAAAACATCAGTGGAAGGGGCAATCTACAGCGAGCTTCCCTCTTCCGTCCTCTCGCTCTTTTGCTTAGACTTTTCCAAGCAGAAGAATAGCTCACTCCCGGCCACGGAGCCATCTGAGGAACGTTTAGGTCAGATTTCTAAGGAAGCCCAAGAGAGCATAAGACAAGTAACCCTGGCTGGCCTTACTCAAATAACCTACAAATTCCTATTCTGATCATGAACTTCAAGCAGACCTACAGTGAACTGAGGGGAAGCCATAGCAAGGAGACTTGAATATTTAAATGTCCAGCAGGAAGGAATTTAAATGTTCAGCCACTCCACAAAGCTCACAGTTGTAGCAAGACATCGAGGTGGAATTAATGCTTAGAGGAAAGCATGTATTTTTTTCAGTTTTCAACTCCAGCTGAATCTAGAAGTCATGATACATGCTTTTTGAAAAAACCAATGAAAAAATTAGGCATACCTCCTCTTCACTCCTCTCCACCGCTGTGCGTGCCCAAGTCAAACATATCACCTCATCTGAGTTTTACTCTGTGGAAATTTCTGGAAACAAATGAGGACCTATTATGTTAGTGAAGACATACCAGACAAAGGCTGTGGCTGCCCACTGGTGTCTATAAATGAAGGCAGGACATAGAAATGTGTTTGGAGAACCAGGATGGACACACAGGAAAATTCTGAATCTGTCACTTAAAAGGAAAATCAGAGTGGTAGATGCTCATTTGGATCCATGTCATAGTTAATTGCCTATTTCCCCACTTCTGAAGCATTGAACTGTTTGAAAGAGCTGTACCAAATTGTCTTTGCCTTGTCATTTAAAACACACAATTCTCTTTGCATTTCCCAACCAAGTTGGCACTTCTGCCATCTATTGAAGACCTAGCTAACTTCCTAGTCATCTGTTGAGCAATTTAATGGTGTTACTAGACCACCTCTGAATTTCAAACTTTAAAATCTGCCTACCTCTCCTTACCTTAGAAGCAAGGTAAGAATAGCAAAATTCATCTGTTCAGATGATCATCCCCTACCCTGCAATGGAAAAAAAAAAGGAAACTGTAAAAAACTGCGTTGGCATGTCTAGACAAAACAAATGTTCACTGAGACGATTGCTGCATTAGAAATGGATATTGTAAAGAAAAGTTGAAGCATTCTCATCTTAAAATATGCAAAGGAGCCCTCAATGGATTTGACAGATTGACCACTGGATTCTTCTTAAGCCCTTGGTACTTGGTTCATTGATTTTTCAAGTATTCTGACACTTTTCTTTCATTACTAGACCACAGCCTAGTGCCTGTCCCTCCTATCCTGAGTTTTTCAATTTCTGAACCCCATTCTTACAGCTTGTGTTACCATGAATATGCCACAAACATGATGATCTACAGGAAAATGTTTGTCTATTATTTATAGTCTCCCTCTGTTTTCCTGCCCCCCATCATCCTGTGGCTGGTAGCTTCTGAAAGAGATCTTCATCTTGCTGCACAATGTCACTGTGAATGACAGGAAATAAAGGACAGCTGAACTTACTCACAGAAATAAAGAATCCTTTGTGGAAGATGAGGTAGGGGACAACAGCGAGGATGAAGATAAAGGTTATAGAAAGAAATGAAAGGGATGAGGCAGCTGTGATGAGAAGGAACCTTAGGGAAAGTTTCTGAAATATTGAAAAGGAGTTAAGAAGTTTGGCTGTGGGCTGTGTCATAACTGGCTTGTGTTTACAAGACCTTGCTGAATTCCATATTCATCAATGTTTCTGAAGCTGGTTTTGTATCTGGGTGGTTTGAGTGGCTTTTGTTTGTGTTCATCTCTCTATGACTTTCAAAGACAAGGTATTTTTTACCTCTCTCCTCTGTAGGAAGAAAAAAGAACAAAACTATCACAGTATCACAGCTTCTGTGTCCTGTAAGACCCATGTCCTCAGCTTCCTGATAGAATCCTTCCTTCCCATGCCAACCTCAGGCATCTCAATCTCAACCTGCCCACACCTAAACTCAAATTTCTGTATCTTGTCTCCCAATTCCTTCTCAGACATAATAGTACCAAACACCTACTTGTATATGTCATGAATATTGAAGGAGAGCCCTTGTCTCTCTCACTGTGTCTCAAGGCAGTCACCATAGTCTTTACTACCCTCAGGACCTCTTTTCTCCACTTTTCCTTCCGTACACACCATAATCCCCCAGAACTATTGCTGAGTCTTCTAGACTTTACCCACTTTCAATCAGAGTAATCTTTAAATGAAACTCATAAGAGCAGCTCCTGCCATTTCTTGTTTTGACTGACAAGGGTTTTCAGGCTTGTTTTCTAGCCATTTTCACAATCCTCTCTTTTTCTTCTCTTGTTAGTTCATGATTGATCCCTGTTTCATTTCTCCAAAGAGCTAAGTATCCCCACCCGCCCCCCATACACGCTGTTCTAAGGAAAAGCACAGTCCCAACTCAACCCCAGCTTATCTCGCTTATCTCTTCTTCTACCCGCTCTTCTGTTCCAGACTTTCAGTTGGTAAGTCACCTCTTCAGGAAAGTATGCATCCCTGATACTCCCGTCTCACCTCTCCCAGACTGTTATTTCTCCTCATTAGCATCTCTTCTTGTATAGTCAACAGTTTTTCTGACAGAATTTATTTCTTTTATAATTAGATAACCTTTTCTATAATTATTAATGTCTGCTTCCATGGCAGACTCTCAGTTATATGATTTATAATGCTAACGTTAGTATTATTAGTATTATACTGGTAAATTGCTAATTGTCTAGTGTTGTATAGACAGTCATTTCTCAGATCACTATTTCTGTGATAGAATCTTTTAAGGCTAAGACATCAAAAATGAAAAGTTCTCTATGTAAATTGTACTTACATTTGCTATTTCTATTTCTCTGCTTACTCTAGGAGAAAGACTCTAAGACATCCACTGAAACTAGAAACTAAGGTTAAGATGTGTATGAGACTGAGACAAAAATAATGGGACCATCAAAGGAATGGTACTTTCCTTCGAAGAGTGTGTCAATCACTTACAAGGACAAGACGTCACCTGTAGTGAGGAATACACTCTATCCATTTCAATTCAGACTATCATCCCCATTGCTGAGAGAGCTCACAAATGGAGTTCATTAGTGCCGTGTGGGATGGCAGGGTTCTGGTTCCATCATCATACTGGCTAATAAATGAGCTGATGAGTAAAATTCCCTAAAATCTCTCTTCATCTAGAATATATTGTAAAATACTAAAGTCGAGGTGATGATGTACTTCACAGTATTTCAGATGTAATAAAGCTTAAATCTCTCACTGCAAAATGGAAAGTATGTGAAGTGAGCTATCTTTTTAACACAAAATATTTGGGGGGCTAATAGCCCATGGCACTCTGCTCATCAACATGGACCAAGAAAAAAGACATTTTTAAAGTCAACGTGACTTTATTATCACCAGTACAGCCCGTCTTTGCCTCCAAGAGAATCAGGACACGCAGATATTCCCACAGATACCTCCTGTGTCTTTCACTAGAAAACTACTTCATTCCTTTCCTCTTGGGCATCGTCTAATCTTTTCTTTGATATAAATTTAATGTATGTTCAATAAATGTTTATGTCATATGTTGCTTCAGACTGTTGAAAATTAAAACAGAAGGTGAATCGTCACAGCTTTAAAACTACATAACAAGTTTGGTATGTATAACTTCCATGCACCGATACACACAAAACTTGCAGACAACTAATTTTAAAAATATATGCTTCTGGGCTGGGTGGTGGTGGCACATGCCTTTAATCCCAGCACTTGGGAGGCAGAGGCAGGCAGATCTCTGTGAGTTCAAGGCCAGCCTGGTCTACAGAAAGAGTTACAGAACATGCTCCAAAACTACAGAGAAACCCTGTCTGAAAAAACTAAAATACCAAAAAAAAAAAAAGAGAGAGAAAATACATGCTTCTGATACAAATCTTCTGGTGGATATTAAGTGAATTTCCTAACAAAATGAAAGTCGAAACTTCATAAAAGATGACAAATTTACCTATACTTACACCTATAGATAACTTAAAAGTTTGGGCAGATGGGAGTAAAAGGGAACAAATGGCTGGTGTTTGGGGACAGTAAGAGAAAATACTGGAAAAATAGGGATACATTAAGAAATATTTCACATACCAGAATGAGAACATGTGAGCAACATGAGCAGGGATGAGGCATGTCAGCATATGTAAGCATACAGTTGATTCTGTTGGTAGAGTGACTGTCTACATGCATAAGGCCTTGGGTTTGGTTTGCATCTCAGCATGATATAAACTGGGCATGATGGCACATGTCTGTAATCCCAGCACTAAGGAGGTAGAGGCTGGGAGATCAGAAATTGAAGGACATCCTCAGCTACAGAGTGAGTCTGAAGACAGCCTGGGTTACATGAGAGCCTGTCTCCAAAAAAATTGTGGGGAATGCTATATTTTTAAGCAGTGTCATAAAGGGTACCAAAAAATTCATAGATTACGAATAGATTTGCCAATGCAAGGAAAAATTTGTGATGTCTAAAATGATCAAAACATTGATTGACTTATATACACTGAGAATAAATGTTATATAATAAATAGAAAAGAATACTAAAAAATAAGAATCTGTTTCCATGACAAGTGCTCTGTGATCTTAGGGGAGATAGATCATAAAAATTAAAATTGCTTAAAAATAATATTTAAAATAGGAAATAATGGCATTTTAATACTACACAAAAGATTAAGGAATTAGAAGGCTTGGTGCAGTGATTAAGAGTGTCTACTGCTTTTGTAGAGAACCCAGTTTGGTTCCCTCTTGAGAGTCACAACTCCTGTAACTCCAGCTCCATGGGCTCCAACATGCTCTCCTGGCATCTAAGCTCTCCTGCATGAATGCGGTGAGCCTAAATATACTTAGGCACACATATACACATGTTATAAATAAATAAATAAATAGATGTTTCTAAAAACTTAAGGGACCTATCCACTGTCAAACTGAGAAGTCTCTAGTAATCCATGCACTCTGAGTCCTCTGTAAGGTTCAGGAGTCATTTCTATTTTATTTCTATCAGAGGTGAGAACACCTTCTATGATGCTAGAAATCTCTTCCTCTGTTGACTTGATATTTACCCTTCTGTAGCTTAGATGTAGTTGACATCTAAAAGATCCATGTTTTCTTTTCTGGAACAACATTGAGCAAAAATCTGTTCAGAACCCTTTCATGTGATGATTGTTCAAAATTACATCATTTTATTGTGGCTTTTAAATAATCTACTGTTTACATCATACAAAATTCATTAACATAATTAATAAATGTCTGTGTTATTAATGAGCATTTCTAAGGCATCACAAATATCTACCAACATTTACTGATGCTACTTCAGTCTTAGAGTTAGATTTATGGCTTTCTCTTGTTTGAAAAAACACAGACAACTTTCTTTCCCTGAGAGCAAAGAATATAAAAACTCTATTCTAAATCAAAATGTCCTGAGTTTAATGAAAACCAGGAACAGAAAGTCTAAAGGCCTGTGGTCGGGTTCCTAACTCGAAAGAATAAATTAAAAAGCATAAAATTCAATTTTCTCAAAGATCGTGATTTTCTATTTGTATGTGCTACAAATTTGGCAGGCTATACAGATTTAGAAAAAATTATTATTATTTTTCCAATACTTTCAAAAATGTGTTTGCTTCTAAACCTTAGGGTGCATTCAGGTAAAAGAAAAAAATGTATTTACGTATCCATTATCTCTGGGTAGAGACTGAGTTTGATGAACGCTCCATACAACTAACAAATGTTTGCCTGCCCAGATGGCTTTTGCTCTAGCATTATGCCTCAGAAAATAAATTATTACTATTATTTATACTCATCATAAACTATGTCTGCATAACAAGTTTCTCAGAGGAGTTGAAACTAGTTTTTGCTGATTCTACAACACATCTCATTTGTAAAAGTCAGAAAGCTGTACCTTTGTTGTTCCAAGTGAGAAAATGTGTTAGAACGGCACAGCGATGCATTGAAGCGAAAGTGAGTGCTCAGTGTGCCCATGCGTAGAGACACTCATGAATCAACACTCTGGAGTATGAAAAGCCATCCAGTGTCAGCTGCGCTTATAAAGTAAAATTATTAGAAACTTTAAAACTGCCAAGTACTGTATGTACCTGTTGCAAGACCAAGATTTCTTGATGTGGAAGGAAGAGCCTATCCCCAAAGATAAGATTTCAAAGCAAGAAATAACTTTGAACTCTTATAGGAGAAAATATGATGACTTGTTTAGGGAAAGCAGTTGCTAAATTATAGTATAAGAAATAAAGAGAGTTCTGTTTTATCCCCCACTCTGCAGCTAACCCAAAGCTAGTTATTTATCCCACCTGTAAAATGCAATAAAACTGCCCATGACAATACTGTCCCAGAAGGATAGGTGGGGATTAATGTTCTGGAGGTATCTGGAGTTTCACAAATGTTGGGGTGATATACAAATTGCGGTACCTTCATTTTGCTTTTATAACAATTCATAGTCCTAACACACTGGAGGGTACCTTAACTGTCCAGACAGTTCATCAACACACACTCAACACCCCCTCTTCAGCATCTCCTGAGGATTAACTGAAAACCAAGCTAAAAATACTGTTCAGTGACTGCACATTAAATTACACAAGGTTGAGATATCCAAGGTCTCAATTTACTTTTGTAATACAAAATTAACCTTGTAGGTGCAAAATTACAGTATTATTTTATAATTATAGCTGTGGTCCCTGTATTTATGAGATATTACAAAATATCTGACCTTCCCAATACAGGTTAGCTAATTATTTTGTATCCAACTAGAAGAAGTTCATTAAACTTGAATCCCAGTGGAAGTGTGGCTAACTCTTCATCTTACCAGGTTCCATTGTCATTGTTCCTGGCATATTAATTAAATTTAGTACTCAAGCATGAATTTAGAATCTAAAAGACCTAGCCAAGTGCACCCTAGTGACAATTTTTTGTTTACCACATCTGACACACAATGTAAAAAGGCTATAAATAACTTGATATTTATCTGTGTGTTGTCATTTTATCTCCTTTACTAGACCTAAAGCTACTTCAGGGAGGCAAAATTCAGGGTTTATTTTTAATATATGTGTTTCTAAATATAGCTCCAAAGGAAATCCTTTGTAAATGGGAAGCAGATAATATTTGTCGGCTTGAACAATATTAGGTTGAAATGAAAGATGCAGATTTTCCAGTCAGCTGTATTAGTGAGTAAAGGCTGTCAGAAATCAGTCATATTCTTACTCACGTGCATTTCATCCAACTATAAGCCTAAGACCTAAAGTTCTGCACAATGAAACTATTTATTTGCCTTTCAGCTTGACAGTTACTTCTCAAGGAGCACACCGTAATGTTCAAGCACGTGATGTGGTCCAACATCAAAAAATTCAGTCTCATTAAAATGCATAGAGGTGAGGGGTAGAAGTCCTCCTTAATTACAGAAGGCTGAGAGTAATATAGGAATCATCCTTTCTTACTCTTGAATTTCAAATATGCATAATGATAAGAAACACTTCAATGTTCAAACTGCAAAAAATTAACTAAATTAAAACTTATTTTGTAAGTATAAAGCTAAGAAAACTATTCTTGACCTTTGTAATGCCCTTTTTGTGATTTTTCTCAACCTGAAACTTCATATTTTCTATTTCTTTTCTTTACTATGTAAAAATGCAAGAACCATTTGCTTGCCAGTCTTTCTGTGAGTAGAACTCATAGCAAGCCTGTGTTATTAATATGAAAGTTTTAATTTAAGAATTTTAATATATATCACAGAAATCCTTTTGATAAAATAGGAAAATTCAAGGCTCACTTATTAAGACACGGCTATGAAATTAACTTTGCTTATTCCGAAAGAATTGCCATCTTAACCATATATATTCCATATTCTTTCATAAGGCTGATGCAGGGTCAATTTGACATTACTCAAGTGTGCTTCAATGCAAGTTTAATTTCCACTAAGAATAGTAGAATGGTATGTTTCATTTCTGCTAAGAATGGAAAAATATGAGGCAGTGGTAGAAATGCAAATGAAATATAAAAGTTGAACTTGAAGAGCTTAAAAGTAAACTTATAGAAACTGTACTCAGACTCACAACATGAGTAAGAATTATTAACAATAATGAATCAATATACACAAACCATAGAACGCCGACTCTATTCATGGAACGTGCAAGTCCTTCAGATCAAAGGCCCTAATAGCTAATGATGGAGACTGTTTCATGGTCAGCAATGCCCACACATAGGCTTAATGGGTCACAGTAGATTAAGACTAGCTTCATTTCATGTTCTCTGTAGAGACAATGGTATAGGCATAATATCTACATTGAAATAGTGGATGGGTAAGGACAAGAAGATGACCAAAGATCTTGTCCCATATCACATCACCACTGATCATGTGATAACTCATATATTGAACCCTTGTATTGACAAGCTTTATATCATGATGACAAAATAAACAAAGAAGAAAAGAGTAATTTTGGTCCACTCTCTGGGTTTCTAGTTCAACTTCATTTAGCGCTGTTGCTTTGGACCCATGGAAGCTCAGTGCATGCAGGAGCATGTGATAGAGGAGGTTTGTTCCCCCAGGGCAATTAGTTAGCCTAATAGAGGCAAAGGTTCCAAAGTTTTAATACCCAGTCCCAGAACACTCCACCAGTAGTCTAACTTCCTTCCATCAGGCTCTGACTCTTAAAGTTCTCAGCCCCTCTGAGTATCACCATTAGAAGAGGAATAAACCTACAATACACTGGCTTGCTGTGCATTTATTCAAACCATGGCACCCCCTTTGTTTCACATTACTCATTTTACCTCCAAGTAATAAAAACATATTAAATATCAATAGGAAAATTAGTAACTATAAGAACTCTCAACTCTACTTGAAAGATCAAAGAGTAGGACAACTGATTTTTCTAGTCTATCTTCCTGCCTCAAGACAAAAACACATCTTCCTATTATTTTATTCACAGTGAATACCAACCTGATCTTGAGTTACTATTGTGATCATGTAATTTAAACAAACTATAAAAAACAGCAGGCAACAGACTTATTATCCTTGTGAAAGTTCAACTGCTTGGGGAGAATTGGTTGTGCTTTTCTTTCTGTCTTCCAATTCTGATGCTCAGTATAAATTTATTGACTTCACTTTACGACAGTTTGGTCCTGGATGAAGCACCTTTCAGGCCTGGAAAACAACAAAATCAAAGACTGAAACCACTGCTAAATATAAAAACCAAGGAAAGTAAAAAGAGAGTAAAGTGCACCAAGCAGACAAGATTCAGCCATTATTAGAACCATCTGAAACAGCATTTCTCCTAGAAAGAACTTAGAGCAAAAACTCCTTCCTTCAATTATAAAATCATTCAGTTTGTCTGGTAGTGTTTGTGCTGTACCTATTTATTCTCATTAGTTAAGATTTCATTGTCATGGTAACATACCTGACAAGAGACCGTCTAATGGAGTAAATGGTTATTTTGGCTCTCAGAGAATATATACAGCCCATCATGCCAGAAAAGGCATGGCAGCAAGATCATGATACAGGGAGCCACACCACACTCACAGCTGGGATGCAGAAGAAGAGAAGTGAAGTTGGCTAGGAAGTGGCCCTCCAGACCCAGTGACCCACTTTCTCCAACAAGGCTCCACCTCCTGCTGTATCCATAACCTTTACAAACCACCAGCAACTGGGAGACAAATGTCCAAATACGTGAGCTCCTGAGGGATATCTCACATCCAAACCACAACAGTACTGAGCCTGTATGTCAAAGGACCTTAAGTGTTATTTGTCTAACCGACTCTAGCAATAAATGGATGCAAGCTCAGGGCATGGATCCCAAACATTACTTATGTCTGCTTTAGAGCCCTTGAAAGACTTGGTAAATGCACTCTTGCAGGAGCCCACCTCACAGTAGCGTTTTGGGTCTTAGGGAAAGCTGCCTAGACAGTTTTTCAAGAGTTATTTATATTATCTTATGTGTCTTAGTGTTTGCCTGCATGTATGTATGCATACCACTTACGTGCCTTGTGCCTTCAGAGACCAGAAGAGATCTTCTGATGGCCATGGAACTGGATTACAGATGGTTGTAAGACATCATGCAAGTGTAGCCTTGGCTGTCCTGGAACTCACTGTATAGACCAAACTGGCCACAATCTCACAGAGATCCACCTGCCTCTGTCTCCTAGGATTAAAAGTATGTGTGCTACCACTTCCCAGCTTTTATTATTTTTTTAAATAACTGAAATATGTTAACATTTAGCTCTCTTAGAATCTAGCTACACAAGAAGTCCATCCCAGGACTCTAATTGCTGTTAGATAATTACAAGTAGTAACACTTTTCTGTAAAGAGAAGCCTTTCCGCCAGCCTGGTTCCAGAGCCACATCAGTCCCAAATAAACACACAGGAGGCTATATTAATTATGAAGCTGTTGGCCTTGCTTGTTTCTTACTGGCTAGCTCTGACTTAAGTATTTATCCCATAATTGTTAATCTAAGTATTTCTCTTACCGGAGAACTTTCTGGGCTTCTTATCCCTATGGCAGTTACATCTTGACTTCCTGTGTTTCTTCTACCCAGAGTCCTCCTGTACTCCTAGTCCCATCTATCTTGCTTCCCTATTGGCCAACAGTGCTTTATTGACATATACACAGGACTTACCCCATCACTTTTCAAATCCTTTTGAAATTATCTAATAAATGCTTAGCATATGTAATGTCTAAAAGCAATTCCATGTACCCAAGAACCAATGTTATTAGCACAAAGAATGAAAGGTACAAGAGGAAGGCAACGCTGGGAAACGGTTTTCATCATAGCCCCACCACACACTGCTCCTTCACTCACTGTAGGCATCTTTAATGGAGTGTGTATATGTATCTATATAGAGAGAATTCTTGGCCAACCTATTAGGAATGCAGCCTGGTAAGGACAAGACAACAGGTGGGGGTTCATATACCATGTGTATAAATAAGTAAAAGTTAGAACCTCAGCAAAAACGATTTAACACAATTATTGTATCCACTTACGTGGGGAAAATACTTTCATCACAAGTTGGCAGGCTTGGTTCTAATTTGAAATATGTTCATCCAAAGTTTTCTGTGTAACATCCGAAGTATTATAAGAGCCAGGCCCTGTCCCTAATGATGTTCCCTTCCTTTCAACCATAGCTTTGACTCACACTATAAGCTGTTTGGGGGATTTGTCTGCATTACACACACACACACACACACACACACACACACGTGCACACACACACACACACAGAGAGAGAGAGAGAGAGAGAGAGAGAGAGAGAGAGAGAGAGAGAGAGAGAGAGAAAGTGTCATCTTCTGGGAATCTTTGGAACCTACTGTGTGGGCCCCTGGCATCCTGGCACAAAAGGGAGATCCCATGGAAGATGCTTGCCCATGAAATGTGAAACAGGATAGCATTGGCTATGGACTATAGGACCTCTGATACTTGATGTATGATCTAGAAGAGGAAAAGTACATTAGAGGAAAAGTGCCCTTAACACCTACAGGCTTCTCATCTCATAGGGGGATGGTAATGACAGGATCACTATGTAACCACTGAATACATGACCACTAAACATTGTAAGGGTGACAGACTTCTACTGAGGAAGTGTCTTGGTTAGTCATGGTTAATCTTAGTTGTCAACTTGACAGTATCTAGGAGACAAGTTTTTGGGCATGTCTGTGAAGAAATCGCTAGTTTGGGTTAATTGATGTAGGAAGAACCATTTGGTTTGTGTATCATTCGATAAAAAAGGGAAAGGGCTGAACTAGCATTCATCTCTCCCTGCTTTCTGACTGTCAATACAACCTCGGGGTCCTGTTGCCATACATCCCCTCTTCAAACTGTAAGCCAAAACAAGCTCTTCCCTCCTCAAGTTTCTTTTGTCCAGTTTTGTCACAGCACTGGAAAGATAACACAGGAAGTAAATACTACATTCCTCAACAGTAACCTGCTTCTCCCTTCTTACATGGTTTCCATAGATATCTCCAATAATTTTAGATTTATTGTCAGCAGCTGGGCAGTGGTGACACATGCCTTTAATCCTGGCACTTGGGAGGCAGAGGCAAACAGATCTCTGTGAGTTTGAAGCTAACCTGGTCTATAGAGACAGTTCTAGGACAGCTAGGACTGTTACACAGAGAAACTCTTTGTCGAAAAACAGAACAACAACAACAACAAAAAAAAAACCTGAAGATAAAGGATTTTTTTGCAAGCAACTGATAGAATACTTTTCTCCTAAAGTACAATTTTACTTGTATTAAAACTTCAATTAGAGCCAGGCGGTGGAGGCATATGCCTTTAATCTGAGCACTTGGGAAGCAGTGGCAGTAAGATCTCTGTGACTTGAGTCTAGCTTGGGCTACAAAGCAAATTTCAGGACAGTCAGAGCTGGTACACAGAAAAATCTTATCTCTAACAACCAAAACAAACAAACAAAAACTTCAATTAGAATTGCTCTAATGGCATAATGAAAGCGTATAAATGAGTCAATGGAGGTGGGCATTTCTCCCTATGTATTTAAAATTCCTAATGGAACCTTAATCAGCATATTTAAAGAACATAGGAATCAGGAAGCTTAAATTCTAGCTTCCTTTTTCATATACAAAATTTTACTTTTTTGCATAAAGACACTTTGAGTAAAATCATAACTCTAGCATTCAACCTTTTATTTTCAAACCAACAAAAGTAGACTGAATCAGAATTTAGAAAAGGGTCCCTTCTCTGTAGACGTCACTTGAAAGCAGGTGACAATGAAGTAATTTGATTAGTCTCCATAGTTAAACAAGTTAAATTCACATTGAGCCAAACCTGGTGATGTTTATTTGAGTAGGCATAAATCATATAGTGCTCTCTAAGGTTATTTTTAAAAGAGAATTACCAATTAGTGATTCTCAGGCCACATGTTAGAAATGTGGGCCAGAAAATGCATTGGCTGTCTATTCCTGTGTAAAAAAATTACCCTAATTGTGATGACTACAGGTCAGGAATTTCAAAGAGGTTAAGCTTGGGAATTCTAGTACAGTCCAAGTCTTAACATCAGCCAGGATGGAGCCATGGAAAGCCTTTCCTGGAACTGTCAATGTGTTCAACCACATGACCAACTACTGGCAGGGAGCATGTTTCCCCTTACAGGAACCTTCCTAGGGATGCTTGAGAGTTTTGTTTCATTCAGCCCTTAGTTTTCTGTATCTTGAGAAATCAAGATGACAGCTACAATGTTTTCAATGACCAATTCTCAAAAGTCATATACTCACTCACAGATCCACTCTATTCTACTGGCCCTGTGGTTCTGTTTAGGAAGGGATAGTGCAAGGGCTCAGAACGCAGAGGTGAGGACCCCTGGGAGCCACTGTGAATGTTGACTACTATACACAGCCTCCATTGACCCTTCTTGTTCTAATATTTTATAATTTTAAGAAATTTACAATTATTACTAATAACATTGAAATACATCCCACTGAAAATGTACCTTATCTTACAGATACATAAAACATATTGCATTCACAAACAGGGTATTGACTCTTCAAGGCATCTATCTCCTAATCCTTGGAATCCAGGACCACATTACCTGACAAGGAAAAAGAGACTCTGTAGATATGAATAATATAAGACTTTGAAATAAAAAGAATATTCTGGATTCTCTGGGTTGACCCCATATGTTTGAGCCAAATTTAACAATATTTCTGTGTCTCTTTTATTAAAGGAGGAGAGTAACAAAGACAGCAAGAACATTTGGCCCTCTGTGCCACTAGTTGTGAAGATGGATGAATGGGCCAAAGGAATGTCAGTGTGTTCTAGAAATTGGGAGAGAGAAGAATTCTCCCCTAGGTCTTCAGAAAGGAACTCAGATTTCAGGTACTTTGAGTTTTGCTAGCTCAAGGCTAGACTTATCCTGGACTTCTGACCCACAAAACTAAGAATCCATAAAATTCGTGTTCTTGGAAGCTACCAGCTCTCCCACGGTGACTTAATTTTTAATATTTTTATTATATTAAATTTTGAATTATTTCATTATTTAATGGGACTGTACATTATCTAATAGGACTTCCAATCCATGAATCAGGGCATTGTACTTTATTTCTTTATATTAATATTCAAGTTTTGCCTTGAGATCAAACTGACAAAAATCAAAATCCCTCAAGCCAGAAGATATATTATAGTGAAATTATTTTGAA